ACACATATACACGTGAACACGCTTGACAGTGCTAGATAGACAGCGTCCATCTTTCCACTTCACACTGGTAGGGCCATACTGTCGGGCTGTCCGACTCGGACAAAAGAGGAGCTTATAGTAGACGAGTGGAGTCGAAATACACATAGTAAATCGATATAACGCGGCTGAATAACAGGCCAACAGGAGTCACCCGGTCACTGTGGGGGGGTCACATGACAGTGATCCACGGCCGTACACGATTCGTGTACATTGTCGATTCGGTAATGCAAAGGTAATCTCGTGTCCTGTAATTTCACGGCTCTTAGAGCTCACAGGTGATACCAATCCCGCCTATCAGCATTCAGCTGATCCATTATGGATCATCCATAGTTTGGATCAGCGGTTTGGATCATCCAATCCAAACTGCTCAATACCGTAGGTCATGTGGCGCATGGACCCAAGTGTATTATAGTGTCTACTCTCAAGTGCACGTTAAGTGTGAGACTGTGGGATCCATAGTGTGGGTCTTGCAGCATTATTGTTTGCATACGTATATATGGCTTCGTCGTCCATTCGTCTGGCAGAAACTAGACCTAATGCTTGATACTCAGAGTCGGGAATTCGAAAGTCCCACGTTCGACATGAGCCGAGACTGTAATCGGTGGGCCACTAATATCGACGCTGGCACACGCCACGGGGTGATTACGTTTTTCCAGGGCAGAAGCGTGGTTTACAGGGCACCGTAAATCGCTCGCCCGAGTGGCGGGATCTAAAGAGCAATCTGGAACTTCGAGGGCAGGAAAGGAGTTGCCAGGGCCCTAGCAGAAAATTGAGGGCACCAAAGCGCGCGCCATGGCTTGGTGATTTCACAGGGTTTTGGGTGAAAATGGAGGGCGACTGTCAGTTTTTCAGGGCAGACAATGATGGCTCGTCATTGACGAGTCCATAACTTACACATATGATACACGAGGCCGAACATCCAATCGAGGTGTAATACACAGTGTATTATACACTGAACTTCGGTGACCGATTCGGTCAAACCGAAGACCGCTGATTGCAAACAGAACATTTGAATTATAATTGTATCTCGAATGAAAGTGGCGCTGAAGTTCAGTGACTAGAACAAACCACCCCAGTTCACAGGATCGCACACTATGTATCGGTTTGATATCGCTAAATGCTACATGTTTGCGAATCGATGGCTTGAATTCTGTATCAGACTCATCAACTCGAAACAGTTAGGTAAGAAACGAAGTTAATAAGCTAATTGAACCTATCGGATAGGTTCATCCTGCCCGATGTGCTCAAGGAACTCTCACTGAAGCCAATTACTCCACCTGCGTGCTCGTTCACGATCTTCAAGCTCTGAAAGTAATAGTGCTAGCATAGAACAATCCAACCAGGATGTCGCACGAGTTTACTCAAAAAGAGTACACCTTACCTGGGATTCTCTCTGAGACTTCTCTACCATGACTCGTCCATACCTTCTCGGCTCTGATATCCGTGTTGTGCCTCTGCAGCGGGTTGGAATTCTTGACCGGCCTACTCGCCCAGGTGACTGTAGGAAACTTCGCGAACATAACATCGGCCACCTGACGGCATTGATCAGCTTCTGCTCGAGCAAGGCGTAGACCTCCAGAATCATAGTCAAACGAATTAGACTGACCAATACCGCGAGTGTTTTACTCCCATGAACGTCCGGCAATGCAGCATGAATAATATTCATCGAATATGTGGGCGCTGCAGGGAAGTCACCGGTTGTTGAGTTGTACCTCCCCCAGTACTAATATTCCCGTGGGCGAAGGCCGGGCCCATCTTGTGCATAGAAGCTATCAAAATATGGTGACATTGCCCGAGTGAAGCGTATGATACGCTGCGTATCCCCGGCAGCTACACGATAGAGTATGACCAGGCAAACCCACCCCAACAATCATGTGCACTCGCAGGAACTTACGCTTATATTCTGCCAGGGAGATTCGCTCACCGACAGCATCGACACCTCGGAGGGTCGCTTGCACGCGTGACTCAGCTTCTCCCGGATGCAGTGGCCCACAACCACAGCTTGACACACAGGCGATACGTATGCGGATAGATGACAGCTCAGGAGTCCTGAGCCCCTAAGTCAGGACCGAGCACATCAAGAGACAACTCCTCGTAGATAGGATCCCCTTCAGTGAAAATCATATCCTAATGATATCATCTTACCTTGTACTCACAGCCTGTGAGTCACAGGCGATGTGTGACATGCACTTATACACACGCCAGTCGTTCCTGCCAGAAGGCCTACTCTAGTCGAGGTGTCCCAGGAGGCAACGACAGATTGATTGTAGTTCATCCTTGAGAGAAGTTGGCGAGAAATCCTTGGCGGTGCTTCCAGGTTTCAAGAGGGTGGTGGGACCAGGATTGTAGGTTGTTGCTTTCTTTTTCTCGACCATCTACAAGAAAAACAGCCTTATCTGATCGACGTTACGTAGACAATGTCTGCATAGCCAACCACGAATATCAATATCGCTATATAGCATACACACAGACCCAAGGCAGACTCTGCGACCGAACAACCCCCTAGCTACTGCCGCTTGCCCCCAACAGCAGCACCCATTGGCTAGATTCTAGCCACTAGAATCACAATCCCCAGTACCTCCATTCCCATTGACCAGCATATTCGCATTTTATGCTCGGTTCAACTTTGTCCACTCCTCAGCAAACTGTACGCGAGTAGCCCCAAAAATAAAGCTCCAAAAAAAACATTACCAAACTACAACCTGTACACCCAGCAAAGCCGATTCAACAGTACGAAAATGGATAATCAAAAATGTCGAGAGCTACTCAAAACTTTCCCAACCGTTCCCAGTTCAGCTCCGAATGTAGCCGATAAACTCACGATTCAACATAACGCAATCACTTCGTAAGAAACCAGAAACTTCCGCATGGTTGATCTTCCTAAAGACACCTTGCGCACTTCCAAATTCTTTAGAAAAGATTTGCCCTGAGATATCAACCTCAGACGACATTGTGAAACCGCCGTGGCGAGCGAATGCTCTGCCATGCAAAGGCGGGCATTGCCCTGGTAAAAAGAAATTACTCGTTGAGGTGGTTCAGCACTTCTCGCGGTAGGATAGCGGACTAGACAAAAGAGTGATTTTAGCTTATGGGCATCATTGCGAGAGGTGAAGCCATGTTGATAGAACCTTTTAGCAGCCAAACCAATTTCATGTCCTGAACGAGGATGAAATTTTCATCCTCGTTCAGGACATGCCTCGTCAGGGACCCATCCTTGGGAAACGTTAGGTCGTTGCCGTTAGGCGTTTTGACGAATAGCCAGGTCTCGTAGTCAGGTACGTGATCCTCTGGTATACCCCACTCATGGAGAGGTTGGCAAAGCAAGGCTCCGAATATGAGCTCAGCTGCTGCGCGACGGTGAGTAATCCGGGCTTCCCCCTTATTGAGTGAGGGCCATATTGGGACAACAATGTGAACTTTAAGGTGCTGCTGAAATACGCGGCTAAGCCCCGAAGCGTTCTCCTTTTTCTTCTATACGTCACTTGCTCCTTTATCATCTGTTACACTTCTCAACCGCATTGTTGGTTTTCGGACCAGGACGCTCTGTCACATAACCGCCCCATTCGCTCGACCAATTGTCTTCATTCAGATAGGAGCCAAAGTCGTCCATGAACTTGCGAACTGAAAGAATCTCATCTGCTGTGAGGCGGGTAGGGAGCTCTGAAGCAGAATTATACATGATAAATTATCATTGATAATTCGATGGCATAGATGTACCCAGCTTTGCGTGGCGGCCGAAACTTGCACTGTTTTCCGCACACCTCTGAATTAAAACTAACCAGAGTATCTTACAAAGCGTAGACTTACAGGACTTGAGTTTTGAACGACAGCAGGTGGCACCTGGCAGGTGCAGCTGTGGGGTTAACGTTTTCTGTCGAAGCGACTACCTTGAAGGAGAAATACAACAATAGTTGAACTAATAATAATAGTCTATTATAGTTGCTATGATCAGTTCCACTCGTCATGATATATCAGCAGATGCAGATGAGAGGAACTCACTTCACATCCAACACTCAACCGCTTGCCACTAGCCATCAGCACCGACGCAATATGATGACATTGCCCACTTTGACAAAATCCCATACATTGGCAAATTCACTGGCCGAGAATCCATTTCACGGCATAGATTGACATCACCGATTTATCCCAATCACGCAGCAGAACGTGATTCCGTCGATAGAAAGCATCAACATCGCTCATACTGAGCTGTTGCTGGCTACGGGTAGCAGAAGATACCAAATACAATTGATGAGATACTCTGACCACGGCAGTGGGCAGACGTGTCGCAGCGCGAGCAGTACTATAGTCAAGTAGAGGTAATCTGATGTTATCGGATTTACCGAACGTGCCTTTACTCAACAGAGCATCGAGGATGGTGCATACTTCCAAGAAGTGCGAATATACCTAGGAAAAAAAAGTAACAGGAGTATTCGTGATGTTTTTACTTCATGTCCGCTTGCAAGACGTCGGCCAAGCTTTCTCTTGACCACCGCATTGAAACTTTCGTTGACATTGTTGTCCAACGCCATCGTGAGCAGGAAGGGTCTCATTGCTTCGTCATGCCACACAGGAACCCGATAAGGGATACCGAACCGCTCTTCCGAAGATACCTCCAAGTACTTTCTGAGTCTTGGGAAGAAAGCCCGAGTGTCAGCCAGAGCAGTCTTTAATACACCTCTATACACAAGTGAACCACCAGAGCGCTCCAACATGGCACCGATAGATTTGGCTTGAGCGCGATCCACAGCGGTGAGCTTGTCTGCTTTTGCTATAGATTGCTCACGGTGCCACCGACAGCGATGAACATGGATAGCACCGTAGATATCGTGAAGAGCTTGTACTGCAGCTATATCTGCATCAACGACTGCTCCACCAACTTTAACATTGACATCGTCAGCCACTCTGTGCAACAAGCGGTTGAAGCAGTCAAAAGCACTCTTCAGCGCCACCTTATTTTCGGAGTCGAGTAAACAGAAGAGGATCGGACAGAGACTAGCAGAAAAAGACTTGCAGACCCCGATTGTGTAGGTTGTTGAGTCGTTTCCGCGGATGAGGGAGGGTTGCCCATCGGCATAGATGACGATAGCAGCTTCGCAGGATGCTGCCGTCCTTGCATAATGATATAGGCTTTCGATACCGGCAGTCGGGCAGACACTTACGCAGTAATGATCAGACACAATCATGCTGCCAGGCAGCAGCTGCCTGCATGTACCATCCCCGGCTTCAAACTTTTGCCACTATTCAATATTTCCAAACAATCTCTCCAGTCATTTTCAGACCATGAATGACGATCTGCTACGGTCTTAGAAAACCCTTCAACAGTTTCGAAGCCTTCTTCTTTTATCTGACGGATTTCCGCTTGTTTGATGTGAGCCACATGCCGCTTCAACCGCTTGCGGTGTTCCCTGGCAGCTGCATCCTCACCAATAGGACAGTCGACCGGAGAGTTCGCCACAAACTTTGCATATAGATCAGCTGGGGAAGTAGTACGGTTAGCCCGAATAGCCAGCTTGACCTTAGCTCGAACATCAGCGGAGAGTTTGATGGTTTTGAAATTGCCCGTGTTCGAACCACGAACAATGTCAGCATGAATTTTATCGTTGCGGAAAACGACGATCTCAGGAGGATCCGACTCGCCGACACCAGGCTCAAACAGGACCCTCAATCTCACAGGACATTCGTCATGGTCCCTGCATGCCAAACTTTTCACCATAACCTCCCGCTCAGAACTGCGAGTATTTTCCACTCGCAAGTTATTGCAGTCACCCATCGAGGCCGCACAACGTCATTTAGCACCCTGACCTGGCACACCTCTTCGACTCCTAGTTTGAGCACCCCGATGTAGCTCCATCTTCCCCTCCAGTTCTTCGGCTGCGGCCGATCTCCCACGTTGACCTGAGCTACAAGGATGAGATCTCGTAACATATTGTTATAAAATGTAGCATAATCCATGCTGAAAATCAGACAGTTAGGCTACAATCCGTAAACGAGTATTACTCACTCAGTACTTATAAGCGCAATGCCTAGTGCTGTATAATCCGTGAGTGAATATAGGATAATAATATACAGCATATAGTGATTTGATCCTTCAGTTCGTAAATGGTAAGTTCATAATAGGTGGCGAATCACCACTGGTGGTGAAGGTTATTGATAGTATATTGGCCCGATAGTATAGTATAGTATTGACGATGGTATAGTGCTATCGTAGCACTGCTACGATTCCTAAGTGGATGATGCAATATAAAGCCCCCTCTGCAAATAAATACTGATTCTACACCGTTGAATAACAGTACTACAGATTAGAGCCTACGATTGATAATAGAAAAATACAAGAATGCAGTACATTCAATGCAGTCATTATAACGAGTGTAATATCACTGCTTAACAGTCGATATTTAAAGGATGAACATAGCACAGAAATGTGTGGCATTGAATGTCCGATCAATGTAGTAGATGTATAGTATAATCCATTACTACCAGTGGAGTCTCGGGCCCCTCGCTCCTTCCATTACTTTGGCTCCAGCAGGGATGATCATGAGATTCACTACCGTACCAATTCGTATTATCATCGATCCCCCAAGAGGACGAGGTTGCATTCCCACGGGCGTCGGAGCGATACCAGCCATACCAACTGTCGTAGCTCCATGATCCGTCATCTTGCGGACCCCAACTCCAAGACGCATGACTTGTAGTATCTCCCCAGCTGGACCATCCATGATGACCGTTAGTAGTCCCACGAGTGTCCCAGTGTGATGAGTACGGTAAATGGTTACGCCGAGCGCCCAAAAAGTCATCTGTACCTTGCTCTTCCGCGTACTAATGACCGTCCCAGGTATGCCATCCCGGTAAGTTGTCAGTCCCATCATGATACTTAGCACTCATAATTATAGCAACCAAGAGCGTCGGTCTAAGAAAGAACCAACTGGGAAGCTCAGCTTACGAATATGAAACTTGAGCACATTGCTGCACACGAGAGAACGTGTGGCGAAATTCGCTCTCAACATGAGTTTCTTGAACCACCTTCCCCAGTTTCAACATTTAGTTTGTGTGAGTTGTGATGGGAGAGGACTGCCCGACTACTACATTGCAGTGTATGCCTTCCTCATTCTACAACACTTTTGTCATGTGAGTAAACTGGAGAGAAAGACCTCTGAGAAATCGATTACGGTAGATTAAAATCGGAAAAATGATTTACATCGATTAAGCAGTTCGGATGATGGATTCAACAGCTGAACTTTACCTTGAATGTTCAATGAAATACCGTTCTGCTTTCAGTAGTTAAAGGTCTGCGTTCTCAAACCCAGCATGTAAGAGACTTGAACTACGGGGTGTAGCCTACAGTGTTTAGCGAACACCCATGGAATGAGTTTCATAATTTGCGGGACGTATATTAACTCCAGTATGATTCAACTCAACAAAACCTGAGCAATTACGAGGAGCGATATATGAACATACATGAGGTTCAACTCCTTCCCGACGACTACATCAGTCAAACCCTCAAACGGCATAGCACTCAGAAAACGATATCACTGACCATCCATGACCCTGTTGTTGTACCAGGAACACTGGTAAGATGATCGCCTAATGATCTTTATGTTCTGGTAGAGCTGCATAGCAGTCGAAACCTCCCCATCGGTCGTAAATATTATCGTCTGTCGCCAGAAAGTTTTCGATAAACTGGAACATGACTTCGTCAACCACCTTATCATCCCCGCAGGATCTTAGGAGCGCTAATGAAGGTATGAAATAGTATTGGAGGTCATCATCAGCATAGATCGTTTGCGCTTCCTTAGAATTGCACCATTGGGCAGCTCAATTTGGGCTGCTTTCAAGAGACGATCGTACTCACTGGGGAACTCCTTCTCTCTCTTGATAGAGAAGTCAGCAGTGGCTGCCATCAGCTCGCGAACGAGCG